TCTCTAGCTTTATCTTCCTCATTAACTCTCTAGCTTTATCTTCCTCATTAACTTCTCCAGCTTTATCTCCCTCATTAACTTCTCTAGCTTTATCTCCCTCATTATCTTCTCTAGCTTTATCTTCTTCATTATCTTCTCTAGCTTTATCTTCCTCATTAACTTCTCTAGCTTTATCTCCCTCATTAACTTCTCTAGCTTTATCTTCCTCATTAACTTCTCTAGCTTTATCTCCCTCATTAACTTCTCTAGCTTTATCTCCCTCATTATCTTCTCTAGCTTTATCTTCTTCATTATCTTCTCTAGCTTTATCTTCCTCATTAACTTCTCTAGCTTTATCTCCCTCATTATCTTCTCTAGCTTTATCTTCTTCATTATCTTCTCTAGCTTTATCTTCCTCATTATCTTCTCTAGCTTTATCTTCCTCATTATCTTCTCTAGCTTTATCTCCCTCATTATCTTCTCTAGCTTTATCTTCCTCATTAACTTCTCTAGCTTTATCTTCCTCATTAACTTCTCTTGCTTTATCTTTCTCATTAACTTCTCTAGCTTTATCTTTCTCATTAACTTCCCCAGCTTTATCTTCCTCATTAACTTCTCTAGCTTTATCTTCCTCATTAACTTCTCTAGCTTTATCTTTCTCATTAACTTCTCAAGCTTTATCTTTCTCATTAACTTCTCTAGCTTTATCTTTCTCATTAATTTCCCCAGCTTTATCTTCCTCATTAACTTCTCCAGCTTTATCTCCCTCATTATCTTCCCCAGCTTTATATCCCTCATTAACTTCTCCAGCTTTATCTCCCTCATTAACTTCTCCAGCTTTATGTTCCTGGCTAAATATCTCAGCTTTCTCATTAACGCTATCTTGCTTTATCTTGCTCTCCACCTTTACTAATCTCAGTGATCTTCCGAGCTCCATTTATGTCCGTCTTGTGATCCCATTCCCACTTTCTCTCTCTCTTCTCTCTATCTCTGCTCCTTATCTCTTGCTGTTTCTCCTCCTCTTGCAGTTTCCTTATAGTTTTCACTTCCTATTTCTTTATCTTCATGTCCTTCATGCCGCATAAATTCTCTCGTCTCTCTGTTTTTCTATTTATCTCTAGTTACGGTTTCTTCATTATCATATCTTTATCTAGTTTTATATTTATTTAATGCCCGAAACGCTATGAGTTCTAGTGGCTTTACAAGAATGTAAAATCAACTTAATTTCTATGTTTTCTGTTAACCCCCAATGTACCTTCTTGTATATAAATAAATAAATAAATATTTATTGTATCTGGGCATCCCAGAGCGAGGGCGCCCAGGAGTGGTTTTGGTGATGACTGGTAAGACTGTTGCTGTAAGCAGCAAGCATCACCATCACTTTCTGCCCGAATCTCTTTATTTTTCTTTGAGAACTTCAACCTTCGTTCTGGCAATATTTCAACCCGTCCTCATCAACAAAGGTGAAATGTTCGTAGATCTAACCACACAAACTCATGGTTGCTGGTGGCTGGCAGTCACTGAATGAAAATAAGCAGGTTACACACACGACTCAAAACTGATGTAAGTTCTTCTTTCAAGGCCTCTGTTCGAATCCCATCTCTAAATGCTTCCCCCACGTGCTGTACACACCAATCACTGCCAACAGAATCTTGCCATCTAGTCTAAGGTAGGCCTGGCTATTCAACACATTTTAGTATGTAATAATATTAACTTATATTGGAGTAAATACTAATTTGGAATACGCAGAACGTTGAAATTCACAAATGTGTCTTGGGGGGTCGACCGCCGGTTGGACGAGCCTAGTCTGAGAACAGGTTGCAGTATTTTCAGCACTTCCCTATTATTGGCGACCGGGATATGAGGTCTATCTCCTATTGGCCGCTTAGGACGGTGATGTCCATACACAATGTTTTGTGGGTGACCCCACAGCTCTCTTTAAACTAAGACTACATATAATGTTGTAATTATACAACTTTCACAACGGTAATCTTGCCTTATCCTGTCCTAGTGGGTCGCCACCTGCTCTCTGACCTACCTGAAAATAAAGAAAACACAGCATTAAAATCTTCCAGACATAGGCAGAAAACAGCCACAGTAATGAACCACTGAAGATGATCTTCTTGAGGTTATCTTGAGATGATTTCGGGGCTTTTTAGTGTCCCCGCGGCCCGGTCCTCGACCAGGCCTCCACCCCCAGGAAGCAGCCCGTGACAGCTGACTAACACCCAGGTACCTATTTTACTGCTAGGTAACAGGGGCATAGGGTGAAAGAAACTCTGCCCATTGTTTCTCGCCGGCGCCTGGGATCGAACCCAGGACCACAGGATCACAAGTCCAGCGTGCTGTCCGCTCGGCCGACCGGCTCCCTATCAATGTTAGCTTATGTCTACACCAGTCAAGACCAGGATTATCACGCTCAGAACTATATAGGCACAAGGGGTGGTGGTGGTGGAAGGTCTGGGGTGATGGTAGACTCTAACTCACGAACGCTGTGCGGGTGGGTGGATGTGCGTGCGTGTGTTTACTCACCCAATTGTACTCACCAATTCGTGCCAACTCCGCCTTTCTAGCCGCCGATTATCTAATACCCAACCTACTTCGCCATCATATCTCCTTTTAAAATTATATATGGCGTATGCTTCTACAACCTGCTCGCTCTTTTAGTTCAATCCACTTCCTCTACTCTTAAGCTAGAATAAAAGTTTCCTACATCTCTAAGGCACATCTTTGTCTCATGTTTCCACCCATGCATGTTTGTGAGTGTTTATGATGTGGGTATTCGGCGTTGCTGATGAAGACGCTTCCTCCGCTTCCCTCTTGAAGAGAAACTCAGACTTAATCTGGACTTTCTCTAGCATCAGGCAGCGTGTATTTAATAACTTGTCAAGTTGCCGTGCTCTGGCAAGTCCGGTGAAGCGCACACAACTTGCCAAGTTCTCACACGGCTCCAGTTACACTGCAAAGCTGAAACTTTCACAACTTGGTAGGAATACCTGACTCTGGAGGCAGGTGTATGCAGGTGGCTGCATGGGACAGGTGTGTGTGTGTAGATAGCTGGAGGGGACTAGTATGTACAGGTGGCCACGGGGGGAGGGTGGGAGGGGCAGGTGTGTACAGGTGGCCACGGGGGGCAGGTGTATACAGGTGGTCAGGAGGGGGAGCAGGTATATACAGGTGGCCACGGGGGGGGGGTGGAGAGAGAGGAGGGACCACACGCACACTGGCCCTTGGGTCCTGCAGGTGAAACTAATGACCCGCCCAGGTGAGGTAATGTCCTCGCTACACGCCACCACCACAACCATTACCACCACAACCACCACCACCACCACGGCTATCACCATCACCACCAGTATCATCACTATCACCACCACCACCATTACTACACACAGGGATTTATCCACAGAGTACTCACCCAGTTGTACTTGCGGAGGATGTACTCTTGGGGGGGGGATGAGTCACACTCCTCAATCTACTTTTAAACTTGTGTAGGCGTTTGCTTCCATCTCTTAATTTACTTCTCTGCGCATTCCATTTGTTCACATTCTTTATAATGTCTCTGTAGCTCATTTGGGTGCCTTAGTTTCCCCTCTGTGTCCCTTTGTTCCTGCACCATCAATGCTAAATAATCTGCCCTCGTGTGTCTCGTCTATTTCCATGAGTATTTTGTATGTGGTGATCACGTCTTCCCTGTTTGTTCACTCTTCCGGCGGTTTAAAGCCTTTAGTCATACCTCGTAACCCATATCTGTCAGCGGTGGCATAGTTTGGACGGATAAGGGTTCCAGCTTGGTCTTATATAACGAGATAAGGACTTCAAGATGGTGTCGCCTGCTCCAGAAATATTCTGACCAATGGTATGCAAGGTCCTGAACGACGCTTTGTATCATATCTCTAAAGGCAGGTGTTATGTTAGCCAACCTTGTATATGTAGCCCATGATGTCTTTTTGATGGTGACTTCTAGTGACAGTTCCGGGATATTATCAACTCTAAGTATTCTTTGTCTGATTCAAGGAGTTATTTCTCTCCCGTTTGATACCTTGTGCATGACCTCTTCTACACGCTTCCACTACACATAAGGGGCATAACTGGCAATCCCCTCACAGTGTTCAAGAGGAAACTGGATAAACACCTCCAAAGGATACCTGATCAACCAGGCTGTGACTCATACGTCAGGCTGCGAGCAGCCGCGTCCAACAGCCTGGTTGATCAGTCCAGCAACCAGGAGGCCTGGTCGACGACCGGGCCGCGGGGACGCTAAGCCCCGGAAGCACCTCAAGGTAACCTCAAGGTAAGGTAACCCAGCTTTATCACTTCCCACCTGCTTGTGACAACCTCTTGTAGCCGCGAACTGCAACATTTTTTTCACAATGTCTTGGTCGTCCTGTAGTTTCTTCCAGTCTTCCAGAGTACTTTTTCTAACCGTAATTTTGGCATCAAACGCGAACTTTGAGAGGAAGGAATCAACTCCACCTGGTAAGGCGTTCACGGGGCTGGTGGCTGAGCGGACAGCACGCTGGTTGCGTGATCCTGTGGTCCCGGGTTAGATCCCGGGCGCTGGCGAGAAACAATGGGCAGAGTTTCTTTCAACCTAATGCTCCTGTTACCTAGCAGTAAATAGGTATTTACCTATCTATTTATAGGTAAATCGATAGGAAAGGTGAGGGGATTTCTCATCCCTCAACCCATGTCGGTGTTGTGTTATTAAAGGCTCTTCTCTCCACATGTTCATCTAACCTTTCTCTTATGGTATTTTCTATCATCTTGCATGATATATAAGGAACGCTGGCCTACAGTTTAATTAATGTCTACTGTCTGTTTCCCTTTTTGTATATTAATGCTACATTGAGTCAATCAAGTTTCTGACAGTTTTTATTTCCAGTGAATTGTTTTATATGATAGCAAGCGGCCAGCACAAGGCTTCCGCCCCTTCTCTCAATATCCACGGTGATATCTGGCCCCCCAAAGAGTTAGTCGTATCCAGCTCTAGAAAGTGTCTTATCACTTCATCCCTGGTTATCTCAATGTCCTCCGTCAGCTCCAGCTTGGAAGCCTATGGTTGCTGTAGTGTGAAAACCGCCTGGACTCTCACTCGCAAGTTCTCTTGTATACTGAGATTTTTTAGATTGTATTTTTTAGATTTAGATTTTTTATTGTATACTGAGCGATCGACTTGAGAATGGTCCAGGACGGACCGAAACGTCGTCGTCCCTTCACCTTCTAGTGTGTGGTCTGGTCAACACACTTCAGCCACGTTATTGTGACTCATCGCCTGCACTGAGATTTTTTACTTGTTCCTTAACTGATATTTTGCTCGTGATGTGACTGTCTAGCAACTCGGACTGGGTCTTTCACTTTCAACAATGTCGTCTTCAAGTTGCTATTCAGCTGCCTTGATCACTCTTAGGAACTCGTCACTCGCTTTCTGGAATTCTTCTGTTCTTAGTCTTGATGTTTTCTCCGTGCTTTCGTGCACATGCACAATGTTTTCTTATAGCAATTGTTAAAGTTTAGCAGATGCAGCATCACCCAGAACAATGATGGGATAGATAACGAGATCGTTCAGCTCAAAGAGTTAAACCATGGGTCAGTACACATGGGTCATCATGGGTCATCCTGGGTCAGTGTCATACCATTCACTGTCTTCCCTTTCGACAAGGACAAATTTGACAGCTGCCTTTCATCATTTCTCCTTGAAGAAGTTTCTAATTTCCTGTGGGGACTTCCACCTGAGATCTATTTCTCATCGTATTTTTAACAGAAAGTTTCTTACTTCCTCATACTTTCTCTTTTGACATACCACCTATATTCTACCTCCTAATCGTTTCTTTAAACTGTTCATCCCTACTTTCACAAGATATTGAAATGCCTTTACACTGTAATCGTTCATTCCTAAGCGACAACCCAGGATTACTTCCCTTGTGTCCAACTCATCCA